TCACATTTTGGACAAAATTAACAGAAGAGTGTACTTTATATCTGCATATTGTACAAATTTAGATACCTTTTTCATTCAATAAGATCATAGTTAATGTGTGAGTGTTTGTGAGAGGGGGATTTACGTAAGACCATCTAGTAAGACCATCTAATGGAATGCATTACATCATTTTCATTTTGCTCATTTGTTAGCCCTTCTTGTTCTTTCTAGTGTTTATACTTCCTGTTTTTGTTGGATATTCATACATCGAGGCTTCTCATTTTTTCCTGCTTGTTTTTTCTATTTTTAATGGATTAAGCGTGTCACGCTTTTGCTTCTTTTTTGTTTTTTATTTCGTTATCAGTTTTTAGTTCTACGACGTCGTTCTGTGGCGTTTTGCATGTGGTCACCAAAGTGACGTGTATAAAACACTGTCTTCTTCATTTTGCATGATATACAGAAAATTTGCCCCAAAATTTTTCCTTTTGATTTCTTCATGGTATCCAGAGCGGGTGAGCTCGATTTTTCAAATTAAAGGTTCGATCGAGCTTCTGCTGTGCATTTCGTGGCGGATCTATAGCTCATTTCAAGCTGAAAATCAACTAAAAGTTTGGTGAGGTGCAGCAATGGCGAATAATGATCCATACTTACTTCACGGCTCCGATCATCCGGGAATGCTCCTAGTAACAAATCCTCTTTTAACAACTTCCTCTCGTGGAAACGATCAATGATGATTGCTCTCGGTGCTAAAACTAAACTTGGATTTATCAATGGTGAAATTTTGCAACCCGATGAAACAGATGAGGTTTTTGATGACTGGAAAAAGGTTGATTAGATGGTACTATCTTGTTCTTGGATCATTAATTCTTTGTCGAAAGATATAGATTAATCCTTTGTCTATGCGGAGAGTGCTAAAGAGCTATGGGAGGATATATGCCAACGGTTTGGGGAGAATAATGGTCCATTGCGATACAAGGTTCAGAGAGAAATCACAACTTTGGTGCAGGGAACTAATACAGTAGTATTTTAATAATTTGAAAAGGCTATGGGATGAATTTGCTTGTGTAGCATCTTTGCAAGTATGTGACTGTGAGAAAGGGAAAAACATCATACAACGTGAAGCTGAGACCAAACTCATACAGTTTCTCATAGGGCTGAGTGATGCATATGATAATATAAAAAATCAGATTATGCTCATGGATCCTTTACCTACAGTTAACAAAGCGTACTCCATGATTCTCAGTGCTGAGAGGCAGAAATCTATTCAAAGTGAGCATGGGAACAGATTTGACAATGCTGCATTTGTTGTCAAAACAGGAGGATATGGAGGGAGTTTAGTCAAGGGAGATGGAATCAAGGAGGGAATGTTTGGAATTCAGCAGGTTCATCAAGATGACTAGATGACTGGATCATAGATAGTGGTGCAAGCAAGCATATATGCAAGGCTAAGAGTCAAATGATAAATGTATGTGCACTTAGCAGTCCTTTTACAGTTTGTTTACCTGATGGATCTAAGAGGGCAGTTCATTATAAAGGAGATGTAATCATTGATGAGGGAATCATACTAAGGGAAGTGTTGTTGATTCCAGAATTCAAATACAACTTACTATCTGTGAAACAGTTTTGTGAAACAAGTACTCAGATTTGGGAGTTTACTAATAACTCATGTGTTCTGAAGGAGGGGAGCACTGGACAAATATGTGGGAAAGGTGAGGTTATTGGAAACCTTTATGTCTACAAAAGGAAAGAAGAGGGGCTGAGCAATATTGTTCACTGCAACATGGCACTGAACAGATGGCACAAGTCCCTAGGTCATGCATCTTTCACCACTATAAAACATTTGCAGTTTTTGTGTAAGGATTGTGATGAAACAGGAGAAGCATTGTTGAAGTCCTGTGATGTTTGCTTTAAATCCAAGCAGCATAAGACTACCTTTTCCTAGGAGTCGTATACAAACAACAGCAAGGATCTGATTCATGTGGATGTGTGGGGGCCTTGCAGAGAAGAATGCCTAACTCACACACCTTACTTTGTGGTGGATGACTACACTAGAGCCACATGGGTTTTTTTGATGGTGGATAAATCACAAGCAAAGAAGCTGATTAAGGATTTCATTTGCATGGCCAAGAGACAATTTGGGGCAAAGGTAAGAAGGATTAGATCAGACAATGGAAGGGAATTTTTGAATTCTGAAATGATTGAGTTCGTTGCTGCTAAAGGAATCCAACATGAGACTAGTTGTATACACTCAACAAAATGGCATAGTGGAGAGGACATAGACATTTGCTTGAGGTAGCAAGAGCACTTCTATTCCAAGGAAATTTGTCCCTGAAATTTTGGCCATTTGCTATTCTTACTGCAGCCTACAAATTAACAGGCTGCCAGCGGCTATACTAGATTGGAGATCACCTTATGAAAGGTTGTATCACAAGGTGCCTGAATATCACACTTCAAAACCTTTTGGTTGTTTAGCTTATGGAGCAAATGTCAATCCTACAAAAGGAAAATTTGATCACAGGGGAATCAAAAGCATTTTCTTGGGTTATGTTGTGGGAAAGAAGGGTTACAGACTTTATGATATTAACACAGGAGATGTATATGTCAGTAGAGATGTGGTATTTCTGGATAGTTGTTTTCCTTCTGAAACTGGGATTTTAGATTCAGAGTTTAGATTTCGCTTTATTCTTACTTACTTAGATTATTGGTTTTTGTTCTTTGCTTAAGCATAGGCTTATTGCACATAATTCCGACAACTTCAGAAGAAAAAGAGGCATTTATCAGATGTTTGTTCTATGGATACAAGATGTTTAATGTTTCAAACTCGTACTCGAGACCTTCCAAAAGGAAAAAAGATCTCTGATAGTTGTTTCCTGAATCGGAAAGAGAGTACTTGGGTTCTCCCAATAACTAAAAAGTGTAGCATGTCTGAATCTAACCGGGGTTCGCGATGGTGGAGGAACTGGATCGGAAAAGGGGGGGATTCTAGCCAACTGAGGTTCGCGGTGGTGGAGGAACTGGATCGGAAAAGGGGGGGATTCTAGCCAACTGATCAATCCAGAGATGATTTGGATTCCATTAGTAATGAGGATTCGGAATATCACACATTGATCAATCAAAGAGAGATTCAACCACTAAAAGAAAGATCGATTCTTTTGGATCCTTCCTTTCGTCAAACGGAAGAAATCGAAGAATTTCTTGGGAATCCTAAAAAATCGTTCATTCTTTTTTCTCTGATAGATGGTCAGAACTTCATATGAATTCGAATGCTACTGAGAGGTCCACTAGAGATCAGAAATTGTTGAAGAAAGAACAAGATCTTTCTTTTGTCCCTTCGAGGCGATCAAGGAAAATAAGGGTAAATAGGGGCAAGTACGAAAAATGTAAGCTACGTCTCCGGAAAGACTTGTTTTCGAACATTGCACCATTATTTGATGTGGATAACATATATTTATCGCCCCATCGTATTTTGAAGCAAAATGGTACACGTTTAAGAAAGTCGAAGAAAATAAGGGTAAATAAGGGCAAGTACGAAAAATGTAAATAGGGTAAATAGGATCTCATGTCATGGTTCAGGGAAGCAAGCCAACCGGATGACCCTACGAACGAAGCGAAGCGAAGCAAGATATGTGCGGCTCAATCTTAATTTACACAGTTACTATACCTGCTGTGCAAGAAGAAATAATGAAGGATACAACAGAAGAGCCTGATACAGCATCTAATCCACAGCAGGGTTTGAGAAGGAGTACTAGATGCAAACAACCTTCTAAGTGGCTATCAGATTATGAGTGTGAAGGAGCAGTCACTTTACCCACCTTTTTGGCAAATATTTCCACTGACAAAGAACCAGCTCATTATGGTCATGCAAAGAAAAATCCAGCTTGGGTGGCAGCTATGGAACAAGAACTGAAGGCATTAGAAGATAATAATACCTGGGATTTGACAACTCTACCTGAAGGAAAGAGAGCCATGGGATCCAAATGGGTTTACAAGATCAAAAGGACAACAGATGGTACAGTGGAGAGGTTTAAGGCACGGTTGGTGGCAAAGAGGTATAATCAAGAAGAAGGGATAGAGTTCTTTGATATATTTTTCCCAGTTGCTAAACTTGTTACAATTAGAATCTTCATAGTTGTTGCAATCATGAAAGGTTGGGATCTTTACCAAATTGATGTGAATAATACCTTTCTACATGGGCATCTCACAGAGGAGGTTTATATGTCTTTACCACAGGGGTACACCAAAGGTAAAGAGGGACAAGTTTGTAGGCTCAAGAAAAGCTTGCATGGGCTTAAACAAGTTTCCAGAGAGTGGAATAAGGAGCTTAGCAGAAAGCTTTTACTGTTTGGGATGATCCAATCTAAGCATGATCACTGTTTGTTTACTTTCCAAAGGGGGACTGATTTTATGGCTATATTGGTCTACGTTGATGATGTTCTTCTCACAAGAAATAACATTGGTCTTATGGCTAATCTCAAATCATTTTTACATGAAGCCTTCACTATTAAAGATCTTGGGCCAGCACGGTATTTTCTTGGATTGGAGATTATTAGAACTTCATAGGGGGCTAGCTTGAATCAAAGAAAATATATTCTTGACCTCCTAGGTGACTTAGGAATGCTAGATTGTGGACCAGTGACCACACCTTTGCCCACACCTTTGCCCACTGGTCTAAAATTACAGAGTGATGGTGTACCACTTGAGCAGCCTCATACATTTAGAAGGTTAGTTGGACGGCTTCTTTATCTCAACATGACTCGACCTGATGTCACATATGTCGTTCAACAACTTAGTCAGTTTGTTGGTGCTCCTACCTCATCACATTGGACTGCAGCTTTACATATTGTGAGGTATTTGAAAAAAACAACTGATTATAGCCTGCACTTTCCTTCTATGAGTTCAATTTCTCTCACAACCTATAGTGATGCGGATTGGCCGCATGCAAGGATACTCGACGTTCTATCACTGGTTTCTGTATTCTTCTCGGGAATTCCCTTATTTCTTGGAAGAGTAAGAAATAACAAAACATCTCTCGATCCACGGCTGAGGCCGAATATCGCGCTATGAGTTCCTCTGTTGCCGAGGTTATGTGGGTCACCTACATTCTTGCTGACTTTCACATCCAGGTTCCGCTACCTATATCTTTGTGGTGTGATAATAAGGCAGCCCTTCATATATCAGCTAACCCCGTGTTTCACGAGCGCACGAAACATCATGTCGATTGTCACTTTGTGCGTGAGAAGTTCAAAGGTGGGTTTGTGTTTCCAGTGCACTTATCCACGCAGTTTCAGCTTGCCGATGTATTCACCAAGATCCTGCCTAGTCGGAGTGCTCACGAGCTTCTGTCCAAGCTTGGCATGCTTCTCCCATGTCAAGCTTGAGGCGGGGCTGTTGGATATTCATACATCGAGGCTTCTCATTTTTTTCTTGCTTGTTTTTTCTGTTTTTAATGGATTAAGCGTGTCATGCTTTTGCTTCTTTTTTGTTTTTTCTTTCGTTATCAGTTTTTAGTTCTACGACGTCGTTCTATGGCGTTTTGCATGTGGTCACCAAAGTGACGTGTATAAAAGACTGTCTTCTTCATTTTGCATGATATACAGAAAATTTGCCACAAAATTTTTCCTTTCGATTTCTTCAGTTTTCTTCAGCTTTTTTGAGTTCAGTTATTTTAGTTTTCTGTTTCGAATTAAGACGTATATTCATCCAGCATTTAAAATCTGGTTTTATGCGGTTTAGTATAAAAGGTCAGATGGTCTAAATAAAAGACTTTCACTATCATATAACAAATATAAACGTAAAATATACGAAAAATGAGAAAGGTACAAACCTGAGTTACTGAAACCGGCAGCTGACGCCACTTTTGCTGAAAAACATTCGGATCCACAGATGCCTTAGCACTAAGAACCAAACTCGGTGGGTCGGGAATAGGCGCATCACCCGGAATCCCTAGACCAAGAAGCTCGTCCAATGCCAGGCTGCCACCTGTCTGACCTACGGAAATGGGCTGGTCAAGGGACACAAGGTCCATTAGATCACCACCAGGTTTTGACGAAACATTACTATTATAAGAAGAGCCATCGTTTGCAGAACCATTGTTGGCATAACCAAGACTCTCTTCCTTCTCGGAAGTGCTCAAAAGCAAGTCTTTATCATTTGCCTCGACTCCTTTGGCTATTGCCATGCTGTCGTCAGGTTCTGCAGAGATGGACATGTTGACAAGCCCATCCGAGAAGGCAAATGGGCCCCGGTGTTCCTTGTCGGTGAACATGTAGGATGGCTGGAAAAAAAAAAGTAGGGAAAATAAAAAGCTTTCGTTAGTTTATACTTGTGCTTTAAACCGTGCATTGGTGATTTTAAAGGATAAATGTAAGTTGTATATGTAGGAAAAAGTATTGAAAATAAAATAAAAAGGATTTAATGCTATTAACTGTCTTGAAATCTTGTCATACATTTTAAATAAATGAAATATGTAAATCCACAATATATCATATAATAACACCTCTTCTTAGAGAATTATTTTTATGTAAAGATAATGAATCATATATATATATATATATGTATATATATTAGTATATTGTGTATTTCAAATTGAATATCATAGAATGATTGTGTATTTGATACACCATATGTTAAAAATGCATTAGAAACGCAAAAGTTATTGAAGTTTTAAAATAATTCCCTCATATTCTCATTTGATAACTTAAAATGAATGTGAAAATCGAGATTCCACTATTTTAGACTTATCCCTCTTTATATAGATATAGGTTTGGTCCTAAGTCCAAAACCTTGTGTGTGTATATAATAGATAGGGGTAGTTACCTATATTAGCGCTGAGTTATATCATAATCACAAAAATTTCCAGTCAATTAATAATATATATATATATATATATATATATATATAGATTTGCAGTCAAACTTACTTAATAGATGGCTATGAACTCGATTTTATATGGCTTTTGAGAATCTTAATAGCGATTGAGAAAGGTTGGTACCTTTTGGTACACTACAGATAGAGTGTTGAACTCGTCAAAAATGCGATCTTTAATCTCGCTACTTTGTGTGTCTGCAAAAACCGAAACAGCTTGTTTTGGAGGATTTACAATACGCTCAGCTACAGATACATCATACTGCAAAAGCCTGTAGTAGAACAGCGCCCTATCACGAACATCCTGCAGCAAATCGGAATTTAGTATCCATTGTGGAATTTACTAAAAATAGTAATATTTAAGCATGATACATTAAAATTCCAATGAAAGTCGCGTTTAACAAACCAAAAACCTGATGAAAGTCAGCAAGACCAGCAGAAAGAGCTGCTCCCAGGGCCTTTTGAGTCTCTGGTGGCCTTCTCAAGAAACACTTCATTACTGACGTTAAGAGATGCAAACGGACCTGGGCAGTATATTAAACTAATCACTTGAATACCAATTGATAAAAACAATTGAAACTAGGGCATTACCACACCCATTAGTTAATTAATGCTATAATCAAACGAATATTATCAATTGGAACTAGAATTTTTTTGAATCTTTCACAAGTTGATGCCATTATGCAAGCTGCACAAGATCATCCCCAATTAGTGAACTAAAAGTATAATAGAGTGAAGAATAATAAGCGAACTGTGCCAACTACCTCTGCAGAATGTTCCTCATCCCAGTTCTCGATAAGACTCTCTAAAATGTAAGGACTGTCTTGCATATCCTGAGCATATTCCCCGAGCATCCAAATAAGAGCTGCCTTGGCTTTCGGCTCCTGAATGTTTTTGCTGCTGATATTCCCTACAACTGCTATGCAATCCTGACTCCACTGAGGATATTTCCTTAGAAGATCCTTGACAAGAACCTATTCCCAAAATTTAATTACTTTATGCAACAGAATATAGTAAGAATATGGCATTGATTTTTTTTTTTAAAGATTTAGGCAGAGGAAAAAGAGAAAAGTGCATACAAGAGTTTCTGCAGTCACGTGGTCCTTTTCCATTTCCAGAAACTGAAGCAGCCGATCGACAATGGCATTCACATCATACTGTTGCAACGCGATTTTGCCAACTGCTCGGATCGATTCTCTTGCCATTGGAATATCAACATTGGCAACATATTCACAAAGCTCGGTCACTGGATTGGAGCCGAAATATTGAGCATTAGGAAGTTGATAATTTCTTTATTTCATGTTAGAAGTGCATAAATACTGAAAATTACCGATTTCATATGTATTGCTATCGTTAGCCACGGCAGTGAGCATGTCAAGCTTCAGTTTTTTGACGTAAAATGGTTCGTTATACTGGCAGTAGAAGTGTTTGTAGTCCGAAGAGAAAATAAATGGTGCACGAATCACCAGTAGATGAAGGTGGCTCAAAACTGCAAATGACTGCTCCGGACTTCCTGAGCTTACCAAGGTGAGGAGAGGAGCTTTAATGCGCTCATAAACCTGACCAAAGAATAAAAAACAAAAAATAAAATCACTATATTCTAGATATGAACGACCACTGCAAAAGCATAATTCCCTAATGAATTTAATATACAAAGTTACTAAAGTACAATCTAAAAAGTATTGTTAGGCACTAATGAGCTATTTTCCTGCTTTTATTCTACAGCTATTTATGGCAGGTTGGATTTCCCTTTTCTTTATGGCATTTTTTCATGGCAACGTCAAATGATAACAACCATGGGCCTAATTCGTGCATTTGCTCCGCACATTTGGCAGTTGGAACGGTTAAAGTTGCATCACTGCAATTTTGATGGGTTAATTTAAGCTAAGCGTCTACTTTTACTATTTTTTTTTTTT